ATTGCCATCTCTCAGGTTCTGGTTGTCAGCTGGGTTCATTTGGGTGGTTCTTATTCAAGTTCCTTCATGAAGTTGCAGGTGTGGCTGGAACCATGTGAAAGCTGGTAACTCACATGTCTGGTGCCCTAGATTTCTGAGGACTGGGACTGCTTGGTGGTATCTCCACATGGTTTGTGCAACATGGCAGCTTCAGGGTAGATGCACTTCTTCCAGGGAGAATCAATGCATGAAAGGCACATGCTCCAGGAAGGAGGACACCTGACAAATGTGAAATGCTATGTTACCTTTTATGAGCCAGACTTAGCAGTCATGCGGCATGACTTCTACCGCGTTCCATCCATTAGGCAGTCCCAAAGGTGCATCCAGGTTTAGGAAGGAAAAACAGATCTCAGCTTTCAATAGGACTGGAAACACTATTGTGGCCAGTTTTTGGAAAAATCAAGTTACCTCAGTCCAACTTCTAGACAAAACAATTCACATCCCTCCCATCGTTCCAATTTTTTTAGTATATGTGCTGCCAAAGCAAGCACCACATCCCTCCCATATACAAGATACACTCACCCCTCTCCCAAACTCCCCCAAAGCCTCATTCCATCATCACATCAAGCTCAGGTGCAAGGCCCAGGTTTCATCATCTAAATCAGATCCAGGTATCCTGGATGCTCAGGTAAGGATCCTTAGGTGGACAGCTGCTCCAGTATTGCCCCTGTCTATCTGAAGGCAAGTTACCTAGTCTCCATACAGCCAACATATGCAACAGGATGCCCCTGGTCAGAAAGGGGGCAGTCGGGAGGCACACAGCAGGCATGTGCACAGAGCGGTTCTGACCAACAGCTGGGCACACGTTGCCTGTGGTTTGATTAGGATTTAGTCCTGGTGCCTGGAAATTATTTCCCATGGCTCTTAGGTCCATGCCCTGGATTCTTGGCTCACCTTTAAATTATAATTCCTAATCCACAAGAGGTAACATGTTTGAGGCTGTTGGTTCTCTCAGCCTGCTTCGTGCTCATAAAATGTTGAAGCACCGGAGCCTCTTCACTCTGTATTGACTCTGCTCCTTTCAGTGCAAGCTGATCCAGTCCCTTTAAAAGCTTCATGAGTTTCCTGTGAATCAGTTTATAATCTATTCCATTATTCAACAGCCACATCCACAAATCTCTTTGAGGTAGTCTCCACTTTGGGCTGTCTGCAAGATTTCTGTGCAGCAACACTCTTATTATTCTTAGAAGTTCTGTGGTTTTGCTTCTTTGAAAAGATCTATGAAGCAGCACCTTAACTCTTTCTAAGGTCTTAATCAAAGGTTTCATACTCATGATCTTGACTTCATCTTTAGATTCTGCTGTCCTGAAAATGCCCCAGATTTCATCTCTGCTTGAGAGTTATTTCTTAACTTCAGAATTGTTTGCCATCAATACAGCCTGGCAGTGAGAAACTGTTTCATTTTCCAAACCAGAAAATCCAGGCTTCTTTATAGTTAATAGTTCTTTCTTCAGCTTACCTCTTTACTGTAATGTTTTGCTATAGGCAGCTATAAGAATCCAGGAAGGAGATTTTACATTCTGCCTGAGAAATCTACTTAGCCAGTTCCCTATATGTGTGGTAATTCCCCCCCCCCCACATTACTGCAGATGACAGTATTGCTAATCTTTCCACAGTAGCATAAGAAGGGTCATGTTTCCCCCAGCTTCCAGCATCTTCCTCACTTTCTGTAAGCCTCACCAAGAACTTTCTTTTTATTCATTTATTTTATTTTATTTTATTTTTTAGCTGAGCCATCCTGCCACCTGTTGGCAGCTCAGCAGCAGCTCAGCTCTAGCTGGGAATTGAACCAGTGCCCCTGTTGCTCAGAGCTCACACTCTTGAGCGAGCTCTTAACCAACTGAGCCACTCGGCCGGCCCTCAAGAGCCTTCTTTCTTTTTTTTTTTTTAAGATTTTATTTAGGAATTGGGGGAGGGGAACAGCATTGGAAAATCGGGGAAGAGGAACAGACAACTTGCTGTCCTTTTGTTCTTCAGTCTAGTTGTGGAGGATGTCGCTTCACTAGCCCATGTTGGTATTGTGATCATTGCGCTCTTTCCAGGTGAGGCAGATCGGTCGCTGGCAACTGGACGGCTGCTCACGGGGTCTTTCGGCAGCTCATACCAGTCGCCAGTCACTCACACTGGCTGCCGGCCACACACACAGTAGCTTACAGGAGCCCACTGCAGCAGGGGCTGCAGCCTATGCCGTCGCCGGCAACTCATGGCAGCCCAGCTCCAGGTCGAGCTGTTGTTCACCATCTTAGCTGTAGAGGGCGCAGTGTCACTGTCCCTCATGTGGGATCTGAACTCAGGCCCTGCTGCTCAGAGCAGGCATCCCAAGCCAACTCTTAACCAATGTGCCACTCGGCTGGCCCCCCAAGTGCTTTCTTGATCATGCTTCTGCTAACATTTTTTTTCAAGACTTGTTTAATTTCCCAAAGCTACTGCCACTCTTTTAAAGTTTTGTTGTTGTTGTTGTTGTTTATAGTTTTTATGGTACTTCTAGGTACCAATATCTGTATTAATTGTCTGTTGCTATGTAACAAAGCTCTCCAAAATTTAGTGGCTTAAAATACCAATGATTTTATGCTTATCATTGTCTTATGGTTCTAGTAGTTGGCTGGGCTCAGCTAAGCTAATATCTCACAAGCTTTCTCACAGCTGCAGTTAACATCTAGGGCTGGAATCATCCAGACACAGTTCATTACCTTTCTGGAGCCTGGACTTAGGAAACCCAGACACCTGAGAGTTGAAACAGGCGGGGTCTTCCCGCATCTCTCTTACCTCTATGTGGCCTCTCCACATGTTCTCCACAGCATGGGTGCTTCAGGGTAAACAGCCTTCTCATGTAGAGATCAGGGCTGCCAAGACATGTGTCCCATGAGTTCAATAGCCAGGCAGAAGCTATTTGCCTATGATCCAGCCACAGAAGACAGGCAGTGTCTCCTTCCCCATATTTTATTCGCCAAGGGCAATCAAAGAGGCTCTCCCAGTGTCGAGGTTCTGGAAGGGCACCTGGGGCTGAAAATATTGTTGAAGCCAGTTTGGGAAAATACAATCTGCCACAAATCCTTTAAATTATTCAAATCTTCAGAACAACTCTATAAAACTAATGTTGAAATTTTGTTTGGTTCATTAACTTTCTAGGAGAAGCTTACGAGCTGCTATGATTTAGCACAATGAAAGCCTTTGGAATAATGCTTATTAATTACAGAATTGTGTATTTTGATATTTGCTGCTTTCAAAAGTTGGCTGTTTTGTGGAACCCTGTATAATACTGGCTTACAGAGATGCCCACTGAGTTAGAAAATTAACTCTGTTCTTCTCCATTCTCATTTGGATGTCTTCCATTTGTTTCATATTTCCAATGTGCCAGAACCTGAGCTAACACTTTACATACAATATCTATTTTATACCTCTGAGATAATTATTGATATCATCATTTTATGCATGACTATACTGAAGCTTAGAGAGATTTTCCCAGGTCCTCTTTTAAAATTACAATTTGTGCCATTGCCCCTCCCTCCCCACCTCCCCACACACACACACATACAATTTTGTGGCCCCTTGTCATGGCCTGTTGTTTCTCATCCTCACAGCATGTGTCATGTTCTAACATGCTATAGAATTTACTCATTTGTTTAATTTACTTTTGTTTTTATTGTCTGACACCCTCCCACTAGGAAAGAGGAAGGTAGGGAACATTTTTTTCTATGTTCATTAATATGTTCCGGTAAGTACTGGTTGAATGCATGACTAAATGAGTGAATGCATGAATGAATAGTCGTGCTGAGATTTGAATCCTGGTCTGACTCCAAAGCCTTAATTTTAACCATTATACGTTATTATCTCCTCAAAACTGGGAGCAGAGACTGCTGTCATATGTGCAGTCATAGTGAGAGGAAAATCTGGTTGCTTTAAACAACTCAGGAACTCAACAAAATTAGATGTATTTATATTGATAATTCCTACAGATTAGTAAAATACCAAATTAGTGAAATAGTTCAAGATTTTTGAGGTTTTGATATGTCAGTAAAACTTTATGTAATTTTCTAAAATTAGCATCTCAGTTTTCAGAGAAATTATGTTTAATTTAAAAACTTACAATTTATAGTAAAAATATGTTAGAAAAAGAAGTCTTTGAATTTTTTTAACTTAAACTTTAATAAGTGTCTTAAAGTCATACCTAAATAGTTTTTGCTGGCTTTTTCAAAATTAGTTCTTACTAATAATATGCTTATTTGTTTTTCTAAATATCTCCCCTTTTTTCAACTTAAGAAGTTTCCACTTTAAAAATTCTTAGTGAAATGTTATAGTCTTAATTTCCCTATTAAATATGCGTTTCTGTTAAGGATTCAAATATACTAATTAATTGTAAAACTCACCCTTGGCATCATTTTAATAACCATTGTTTAAAGAAATAATAATATCTAAGTATATAGGTGTTTTGTTTTGTTCATTTTATACCATTTCAATAATCAAGCTTACTCATTTCCTATAGGAAACACCCATATGCCACTAACATGCTAATTTGCTTGCTCTCCCTACCTTTCTATTTTCTCTTCTCTAAAATCTTGAGGACCAGAGCAGCCTACAGTTCTTTCACACTTGTATCAGGCCCTAAGAATACAAGTGTAAATAGGTTCCAGCAGCTGATCTGAAGTGTGCTGCATTGCCAGGCACTTCCCATTTGCAGGTAGCTGACAATCCAGGGCTACCTTATTATCTACCCAACGTCTCCTTCAATGGGTAGAAGTTGCCCTCCAGCTCCGAGATCAAAACTCTTTCTCATTGGCAATCTTGAAGTGTATCCTGAGCCGGATGCCAGAGGGTGGGGGGTGCAGGTCTGGTCCTCTCCATCAGTTAGAATAAGAAGGTGCAGCCTAGGCAAAGGCAGCTCCAGCCAGCCCCTGTCCCCATGATGGTCTGGCCCTGGGGTCTCACTAACACTTCCCATTACTTCTTTGTCCCCCCTTCAGTTCTCACCCGACCCAGACCACACAGTGATGACTACAGCACCATGAAAAAGATTCCTCCTCGGAAGCCAAAACGAAGCCCCAACACCAAACTCAGCGGCTCATCCGAGGAGATCTCCCGCGCTGGACCAGGGGCTATGGGGGCCCCGGGCATGCCGCGCAGAGCGGCGGGCCTACAGTGTTCCCCAGGGGCTGTGCCGGGGGTCCTTGCGCCCCCCACGCACTCTGAGCTGGAGCCTGAGCCCGTCTACATCGAGATGGTGGGCCGCACAGGCAGCCCCGACCAGGCAGAGGCCGTATACGAGGAGATGAAGTACTTTGCACCACCAGAGGAGAGTAGCGGTCCGAGGGTGGGCACCTGGGCGTCTGCATCGACCCCTTTATTGTGTGAGGGTCGGAGCCCCATCACCTTGGAGGATAGCGATGTGAGTGGCCATATGCCCGGGCCCTGCAAAGACACGTGTGACATTCCAGCCCCCTTCCCCAACCTGCTCCCTCATCGTCCCCCACTCCTGGTGTTCCCCCCAACCCCTATCACCTGTTCCCCCGCGTCTGACGAATCACCTTTGACGCCCCTGGAGGTGAAAAAGCTGCCAGTCCTGGAAACCAACCTCAAGTACCCTGTGCCGTCCGAAGGCTCGAGTCCTGTGTCTCCACAGTATTCCAAAAGTCAGAAAGGCGACGGTGACAGGCCCGCGTCCCCCGGCCTGCCTGTATTTAGCGAGTCCCACAAAGTCTCTCCTCCTCCTTCACCACCGCCTGTTCCCGCGCCCCTGGCAGCTGCCCAGCGGCCGAACACGCACTTCACGTTCCCACCTGAGACCTGCGTGGTGAACGCGGCAAAAACAGCCACAAACACTGATCTGCCCAAAGTGCAGCACAAGCCAAACTCTGCTCCAGCCGCAGGTCCCTGCAGCTCTTTCTCCAAGATTCCTTATTCCCCAGGGAAGGCGGCAGGTAGAGTTGACCATAGGAAGGCCAACTCCAACTCCTCGTCTCCAGTGCCCTACAGCCCCCCGAACTCCAGACCTCTCAGCAGCCCCCTGGACGAGCTCACTAGCCTCTTTAACTCTGGAAGGAGTGTGCTTCGGAAGTCTGCCGCGGGAAGGAGAATCAGGGAGCCTGAAGGTAAGCACAATAGAACATGTCCTCCATTTGTGCATTGAGATGGCGGGCTGGATGGAAATGTACACATATACACGTATGCATATATATGTAATTTAAATAACGTTTGAGGTGATCGTAGTGGTCATTCAGAGAAAATCTTATGCAACCAATATGGCCAGGTAGGTAAGAATGAATGTTTCCATTTTGCAGATGAAAGCTCATGATATAAAAATACATAGCACTAAAACTGGATTCAATGTATTCTTACGAGTTGATAAGTATTAGAACAAGATTCAGTTTTAGCTACTAATTCTTTTTTTATTCCATAATACTTTCTTAGAACATGGAAATAGTATTTTTGTAACATTATATTGTCAATTGCCATTTGATTTACAGTTCACCATTAACTCCTGTCTGTCTTCTGTCTTGCTGTCCATCTCACTGCCACTCCTGGCTTCTGGGATGATTACCTATTCAGTTACTACCTTACACATAATACTTCTCACCTTTATATTGAGCCGAAGGCATGGTTTGCAGCTGACAGTCCACTCAAGTGAGCTCAGCAGCCAGAGGCTGTTCCTATATAAAAATAAAAAAAAAAGAAAAAAGGAAGAAAAGAAAGAAAAAGTGTTTATTTTGTGTCTCTATAAAAGCAGACTGTAGCTAGCAAAAAAATCTTCATTAAGAATTTTTTGCCAAGCTCTTGTAAGCAAACCACACACTACTTCATTCAGATGAGGTTGCCTTCGTGCTCTAAAGATGCCCGTTTGGCAGATTTTCTAAATAATTATAAAGAATGTACTCATCTTCCAAAAAATGGCTTTTATACAAATCCAAAATATTTCCCAGTGTTCTGTATTTGGGGGCAGAATTGCATTAATATAAAGCATCTTCTCTTGAAGGAAATTATACCAGGTCCCTTTAGTTAAGATGCTATTAACCTGCGGTAGACGACAGCTATTCGTATCTCACTTTACAGAGATGGAAAACTTCAAGGTGAAAAGGTTAAGTACCTTTCTTAGGGTCAGGTGGTAGGATTGGAAATAAAATTTTGACTTATGATAACATTTTATGTATGAATTAACCTGCTCTTTCTCCTAAAGAAAATACATAAATATGTTAACTTTCATCATTTGATTAGGAAAATTATTTTGGGTTCAAAATCTCTAGAAAATCAAGGAAGCAACCTGAATAAGTGAAAAGTAGGTCAAGGTAAAGAACGCTTAGCAAATGAATGAATAACCTACTCCCTATTTATTCTTCAGACAAATAAGCTAATTGTTTGTTTAGCGGACAATTTCTTCTCAATTATAGGCCATTAATAAATGAAATTGTCCTTGTGAGAGAATGTTTGGATTTCAGAAGTCGTATGTTTCATTCCAAGGAACAAAACATAATCTAAGAGAAATGCATTAAATGAACAAATTAACATTTGGTTTTAGAACCAAAAGTTGATCAAAACCTCATAAACCTTTCCTTTGATTATGCATGGGAATTGGGTGAATTCTTCTTGGCTCTATTCAAAAAAGTGAAGTTAATGAATTTCTAGACAGCCCTCATCATTTGGAAACTCCTAAGTCTAGGGCTCAGAGCATAGTGAGAATTACAGTGAGGCCTCTGGGCATGGTACATGCATTTGCTAATTGTATTTCTCTATGGCGGCACTAACCAGTATTTGAAAACACATCAAAACCTCAGGTACAATATTGTTAGTTCAACTCTAAAATTATGAAACATCTATTTTTCTACTGTGGGCTTTTACAAAACACTTTTTAATTTGAAAAGATTGGTTTAAGCCAATGATTTTCTCATAAATACATGAATTGGCAACTCCTGTCCCAGCACAGTAGCTATAATAACGGAAAACTTAGCAACATGAGACTGAGTCATCCTCACACACCAGATGACAGGAGTTCCAACTATACAGTTGAGAACTGTGTGATTCTTGATGGTCTGTGATATGGGAAATAAGTTTACAGGTTATTATTATTTTTTTTTAGACTGTAAAGGGGGCTAAAGATAAGATGTAGAAGAAAAAAGTGTTAATGCTGGAGCTAATCCCTGGAGCTGCTTATATGTCACTAAGGTTTACACAGTTTGATCCTGAAGTCAGTCATCCATTTTCTTCTGAATGAGTTGAATGACTGTTATTAATGACTTGCTGTGGTCTTGGGACTTCTTCCCTTTAAGGTTTTAAATCTTCTACTTTACCCGTTTTACATTTAAAGATACTCTTCTTTTCACCTGAAATGGTTTTCTTACCAAATAATCCAGCGGGTGGCTAATTCACCCTCAAGGCACCTAAATTAATTACAGCTCATTTCTTGTATGGTTGTTATGAGAGGAAATTGTTCTGCAAATTTGGAAGGAGGGTTCCAAATGGTCCCCTCATGTCTTTGGAAAGTGACCTGGAGGAGGTTAAACTGCTCATGATTACCCTGCTATAGGTATTTCTAGTTAAAACATAAAGTACGGTGAGTTGAGTATAGGGAATGAGATCCTTTGGTGTGTAATTCTGTTCCCTCAGTACTCCGTAGACTTAGATGTAAGATTTCATAAACAGCATGTTCCTTAACACAGTCCATTTTTATAGACTCTTGGATATTCAATTTGAAGCATACAAAGTCACACAAATTCTAGGAGTCCAGGATGCACGTATAGACAAAACGTGACTGTGCAGATGATGGATGTGGCTGCAGCCTGAGAGGAATGATATTAGCAGCAAGGAACTGTCACGCTTACTATGCTCCAGGCATTGTTCTAATAACCTGTTTAATTCTCACAAGACTAAGGAATCTGTTACTATTATCTCCATTTTACAGATGAGAAAACTTAAGTCACAGAGAGATTAATCAACTTTCTCAAAGCCACCCTGCTCATGAAAGACAGAGAATGAGTTGAGCACAGTAATTCTGTCACCAGTGGCTATTCTCTTAGCTACCTGTACAGTGGTGCCTAGGACTGCACGGAAATAAAACAAACAAAAACAGAAGATAAGGTTTTAAAAATTCATATTTGCTCACCTGAGGTGCACT